AAAAATATAAAATATAATATAAAGCTAAAAATAAATATATACTAATATAGAAAAAAAAGTAAATTCTATTACAATATCAAAAAAAAACTAATTATATTAGAAATGTATATAAAAAAAATAAAACAAATAACAAAAACAATAGATATAATAATGAATAAAAAAGAACTTTGACAAAACACAATTGAAAAAAAAAGAATCAAAAAGACACAAGTGCAATAATAAGAATAACAACAATAGACAAATATGTAGAAGAAAAAATTAAAGCACTAAAGACAAGTATAATACAACAAGACTGTCAAAACATAATAGTAGTAATTAGAAATTATAAAAAAAAAAAAAAGAAAAAAAGAAATATGATTATAAAATAAAGAAGAGTAGCTTTATAGAGGTACTGTTAAAGCAAAGCATATAGTTATTCTTAAACAGAGATTGTGATAATAAAACAATATATATAACAAAAATATTAGCATACAATATACTAAGTAGCTCAAAAGAAAAAAAAACAAAATTGTAAAAAGACTACTAATATCTAATAAACATATTTTAGAAATTAAAAAAATATTCAAAAAAGGTAATGCTTAGATTATAATTACCTTTAACTGTAAATATAACAGAGAAAAAGTAATTAGCAAGACCCCAAAAAAATATAATAACTGGTTCAGAATGATCTTGGATACAGAAAAATACCAAAATAAAAATAAAAATATAATAAATAAATAATGAAAGAGAAAAAGAATATAGAAAGAAATAAAAAAACAAAATGAAGTGTCAAGAAAAAGAAAATATAAATACAGAAGATAAAAAAATTCTAGTAATATTTACTGTATAGAATCTTTCAAAAGAGATCTCAGAGCAAGAAGTTAGGTATCTAGTGAGGAAATTAGAATATATAATCTTATACAAAATAAGAAAAAGCATATATAGAACAATAGCAATAATTATAATAAAAAAAGATATAAAACAGATATTCCTATAAGTAATCATTTTAAGAAATAAAAAACTAATAAGAATGATAACAAGTAAAAAAGAAGAAGAAAGAAAAAAAAATTTTATAACAAGACTAAAAGAAATATTAAAAGAAATATCTAAACTAATTTTTTAAAAGAACTTAAGATCAGAAAGCAATAGCAATATATATACTACCAAATAGATAAGAAAAACTAAAAGACTACACAAGAGTGTTATTTAAAAACTAGACAAACATAAATATGCTTACCAAAAAAAAAGTATAATACAACAGAATTTTAATATTCTGGGAATTTAAAACTTAAAGAAATAATAAGAGAGTAAATGAAAACAGTAGTAAAATACAAAAAACACAAAAGAATAAAAAGAAGATATAAAAAGATACAAGTTCAAAAAAAAAACTTAAAAATACAGAAGATTTAATAAATAGATATAAAAAAAAACAGAATCAACAGAAAACAAAAGTAAATAGAAAAGTAAGAATTATAAAAACAAAGTACAAGCTAAAAAAAACTCAGCAACTAAAGATAAGAAATGAGAAAGAATTAGAAAAAAAAGATAACTCAAACTCAGTTACAAGAGAGAACCTTATATGTTAAAGATATTTTAAATCTAATATTAGAAAAATTAGAGAAAGATAAAAAGAAAAATATGATAGACCAATTCAACTGCTCTTAAGAGTGCTATAGTTAAACTAATAAATATAGACAAGAAAATTGGAAAATTTTTGCAAAGTAAAAAAGAAGTATTTGAAAAAAAAAGAAAAATAGAGACTTCTTGTCAAGAAAAAAAAAAGTATATTAAAGAGAAAAAAGAAGTTAAAAGTATAGAAACAGAATGAAGGCTACTAAAAAAAAAGAAAAAAAAAAGAGATAAGGATAATATATCACAATATTAATAAACTCAAAACCAAAGGTTGGAAATTAGAAAATCTGCTCAGCTAGACAGAAAAAAAGAAAATTATAATAATAGAAATTATAGAAAAAAATTTTACAAAAAGAGAAAAAAAATTTTTAATATATATTGCAGATAAAAAATATGTAAAATATTAGACAAATATAACAAAAAATAAGAAAAAAAGATCAGATATTAGAATTATAATTAATAAAAATGAAAAAAACACATAGGTGCAGTTAAGAAAATAAATAAATACATAATAAAAATTATACTACAGTCGAACTCCTCTAAATGCAACCCCCCTAAATGCAACACCCCCCCTTAAATGCATGACAAACATCCGGGCCCATTATGGGACTTAGTAATAAATGCACATTCTTTATTCTGCAAGTGCAATATATTTTTTTGGCCCATTATATATAAACTCCCTCTATAAATGCACTCACGTGATTGCAACCCAATTAAAATTCATTATAAGTCAGACCTTAATAAATGCAACTTATAGAAGCAAAACTTATAAAATACATTTAGAGGAATGATACATCTAGAAAAGGTGCATTTAAGGTATCCATTATACCAGTGTCGCATTTAGCTATGCAATTGTTAATTATTATTTAACTCGTCATTAAACAGCTCACTACCACAATGAGATCTTTCGCACATAATATGCATAATCCGTAAATAAAAACCCAGAGAACATTACGGCATCATAATGGATTAGAATGGATGCCAAATACAATGAATCTATTGAATCCATCAGATCAAAAAGTCAGTGCGATAGTATAGGTAAAAAAAAAATACACAACTGAATTTCAAATCTGTAATGTAGAAACGATAAGAAATGCAATTTTAATTGAATAAAAACGCCTATATTTAATGAACTATATATTAATCTTTTTTTTTCTGATACTATTGTGCCTGAAATCGTGAAATGCTGGTTATTGTCTATTTTAGAATGTAGCCTTATAAAACTAGAACCAAAATTAAGTTATCCAGTATAGTAACCAACTTGCACAGATATCTGTTTTAGTGATCGATGAATGAATAATCCTTAATATGCTTTGTTTAAACATCTAATAGTCCTATTCTCCAATTCATACAGGTGTCTCTTAAAGTTTGAGCGTTCACTGCTACAAAATCTAGTTGCCCGAACTTTTCACTTCGAATTTAAGTCCATGTGATAAATAGGGTCTTTACTAGTAATGTGATATTCTTAAAAAATTGATTATTCTTAAATAATGACAGTGTAAATTGTACAACATAATAAGTTTGGTTAGTTATTAGATTATAAAATTCTCATGAATGTAAAAGTATCTACGACTGTTATAATCCGATTTTGGTAATAACTCAAAGATTATGTCGGGTTGATACTCTTCTTATAAAATTAAAAAAGTAGATTAATATTGTGCATAGTATAAATAAATACATATCTAGTAACATTATTAAAATCATTCTGCATAACATTGTTTCATGAAAATAGACATTCAATTGTTCCTAATATGACTAGAGGCATTCTATTCATTGTTGTAATCAATGTCAAAGACACCGAATTTTAGTAGCATCTAAAATAGCACTAGTAATATTACGACCAAATTCTACTATTGTTATTGTTTTCATGATATCGCCAGTGCTATTTTAGATGCTATTAAAATCTGGTGGCTCTGATTGATATCTACAACCAAAAAATATAAATGCTCATTGCTTTGGTTATTAATAAAAATAACTAATATAAAGTTCGTCAAAAAAATTTTCCCGTGTGTGCAAATAATAACTGTAACATGTTCTCTAAAAAATGAAAAGATAAAACCATCCTTAGTAACGAGCAAAGAAAGGAGATCATTGCATTTAAAGAAAAACATCCTAACACCAGCCATGTTGAACTCGTCGATTGGGTAAAAAAAAAATTTGGCCTTGAAGTTCATCAAAGCACTATTGGTCGCTTATTAAAGAATAAGGATAATATTGAAAGTAACTCATCTGCAAAAAGACAAAAAATGGTCCAATATCCTGACCTTGAAAATGCATTGCTAGAATGGATTTTGCAAAACCAAGTTAGAGTCATATTAAGTGATGCGATTGTAGTTGAAAAAGTGAAAGTTTTTGCTAATATGTTAAATATACCTGATAGTGATCTCAAATTCTCTCCTGGCTGGCTATTTAAGTTCAAAAAAAGACACGACTTGGGAAAAATAACAAAGCATGGTGAAGCTGCTTCCGTAGATGATGATGTTGTCGCAGCTGCCATTCCTAAGCTAAGAAAACTTTAGAAGGATATGACTTGAGAGATATCTATAACATGAATGAGATGGGGTTATTCTATTGATAATAAAAAAAAACAAACTAAGGCTATACAAATTTAATATCTTGGTTTCATAACATGAAACTTAAGTAAACCGTCCAGTCAGCTTTTTTTTTAAATTTCATATCTAAAAGTTTCATAAAATTTTTTTAAAAAAATTTTTAAAACCCACCTAGTTATTAAAACAAATAAAAAAATGTTTTTTAAAGTTTCCAAACCTTGACCCGACTAAGTTATGAAAACAATTAATTAATTTTGTATAGCCTAAGCTTTCAATCTTAATTTTAATTTTTTTTTTCACTTTTTAGTCTCAAACTAGATACTACACTTGCGACTGTTCATCTTAAAGGTAAGAAAAAGGATAAGGAACGATTGACTGTGGCATTTTGTGCCAATGCAGATGGAACGAATAAAATAAAGCTGTTTGTTATTAGTAAGTCTCCCAACCAACGTTGCTTTAAAGGTGTGAATAGAAACAAACTTGGTGTTACCTATGGGGCTAGTAGCAAAGCATGGATGACTACTATATTATTTCAAAAATAGCTAAAGGAATTCGACTTAAAGATGGCTAGTCGCAAGGTAATTCTTTTAGTGGATGGTGCAAAATCTCATTCTTGGAGTAATTTGAACCTTCATAATACAACTGTTCATTGCCTTCCTCCGAACACTACATCTCGCCTTCAACCTATGGATGCCAGTATCATTATGTCATTCAAACATCGCTATCATAGTTATTTTATAAAGTGGTTGCTTAATCAGTATAAATGTGGAAAGGATAATAAAATGAATGTTCTTACTGCTATAAAATATATTGCTTGCGCATGGAGAGAAATATTATCAGAAACAGTGCATAATTGCTTTAAACATATTGGAATCCTTCCAGTTATTCAAGATAATGAAGAACTTGTTAGTAATTATAATGATGATGAGTTAATAAAAGAATTGCATATGGATATTGAGGCACTCTGCCTTCAAAATGTAATGGATCTTGACAATTTTATTAATTATCCGGAAGAAAGTGATACAACTGAAATATTAACTGACCAAAAAATCCTAAACCTAACCACTAGTGTGGTACCTGAGAAAAATTAAAATGACGATGAGGATGACAGCGTAGAAATATGCCAGATTACTCATAATGAAGCACTAAACACCATAGGCTTACTTGAACAATACCTTTTCCAGCAGGATTTTGGTGATATGGCTTGATCAGAACATGACAAAGTTCTATCTAAGTTACAGAGGGCAATAAGGAAATTCCAAAATGCGTCTTTGAGACAAGTTGATCTTGAAGCCTTTTTCAAATTAGTAGATTCTTAACTGTTTTTTTTTAAAAAATAAAAAAATAAAAAAAATAAAGAAAAAAAAAAGAAAAAAAAAAATAAGAAAAAAAAAAAGAAAAAGAAAAAAAGGGCCCATTTCACCTTTTTTTTTTAACAATTTCAATGATATTTAACTGAAATTCATCGATATTCATTTTAATAATCGTTTGACAAAAAGAAAAATGATAAATTATCTAATTTCCTTAAACTACCTAAATTGAACTAAACTGGGTGATCTAGTAAAGGAACATATAGTAAATAGATAATCAGCAATCTGATCAAAGGAGAATAATGTAAGTACTGTACATACGTATGCCATAAATTAGAATTTAAAACAATATACCATGAATAAATAACTATAAAAGTTTGCTCAACTTAAAAAAAAAATTAATTTCTTTTAATCTTGAGCTTGTAATAAATATTTTAAGGTATAAAACACTTGTTGAAATTATGTTGTATTATATAGAAGCATCGATCTTATAATTAAATTTAAAATATGCTGTTGTCTTTTTATTCAAAATTTCATTGACTTTAGTGTAAATTGTATAGAAATATAGATAGCAATCAATTATTGGCTAATGAATAATTACATGATCATTTTTTACTACGATATTATTGGTTATTCCTTAATTGCAACCCCCCTAAATGCATGCTTCAAAGCTGGTCCTAACGACATGCATTTAGAGGAGTCTGACTATATATTTTAAACAACTAAAGTTAGTAGTAATTGTAGTCTATATACTACCAAATAATAAATTAGTAAAAAAGACAAACACAAATTATTATAATGAGTAACTTTAATCATATAATGCATAATAATTTAAATAAACAATATTTACAAATAATAAATTATAAAGGCTGCTAATTTTCAATTAGATGAAGAAACAAAACTTTAGAGACATATATAGAAACATGCATCTAACAAGTCAACAATGCATATAGTTAAATTAAAAAGCAGCAACAAGAATTAATTATATATAGGTATCAGATAGGTTAGTCTTAGGTTTACAAAAAACAGAAATTAAAGAAATAGAAGAGATTACAGAGAGTGATTACAGAATAATAATGATAGAAATATAAATCAAGTATATAATAGCAGGAAAAAGCAAGACAGAAATTAAAAGAAAGAAGTAGTCAAGAACAGTATACTTGTATGATCAAGCAAAATCAGAAGACTGAAAAAATTATATATAAGTGTTATAAAACTGATTAGAAATAAAGAAAAGTTTAAAAAATATTTATAAGAAAGAATAAAATAAAAAAAAAAAAGCAGTAAAAATAAATAATATATAAAAATATAATAGAAGAAACAATTATCATAATGATAAATAAACACATATATAAGAAAAAGTATACAACATGTTAACAAATAGAAAAAGAAGTTAGAAAAAACAGCAACAAGAAAAAAGTATTGTTAAGCTACTAAAATTAATCAAACATATAAAAACAAAAAGAATTTAAAAAATAATAAAAGAAAAAAAAGTAAAATAAATAAACAATTAAAAATACTAGACAAGAAAATTAAAACACAACTGTCAAAATTACAAAGACAATAGTTGAGTACATAAATAGAAGATATAAAGAGTTGAAAAAAGCTATTATTAGAAAAAAAAAAATTAAAAACAAATATAAAAAAAACAAATAAAAAAAAATATAGATAAAAGGTGTAAAATAATCAAAACAAATCAGAAAAAATAATAGCTAGTCTTCTAAATAGGTCTTATAAGAAAATAGTACTTGACAAATTTATTAAGCAAGTAAAAAAAAAGACAAACTTGTTAATAAGCTTAAAAAAACTTAGAGCAGAAGTAGCAGAACATTACAAGAAACAATTTAAAAAAAGAAATACCAAATTAGAAGAGATGTCAGAAGAGTAAAAGAAAATATATAAACTACAAGAAAACATCAAATAGGAAAGTACATAGAAATTAAAAAAAAAATCAAAGAAAAAGAATAAAAAGAATGCTAAAAGAACTAAAAACAAGAATAGCTTTAAACATATTAGATATACTGTAAGTTATATTTTAATAAAACAAGCAGAAAAGAAAACACAAGAAGTATTTAGAGGTTTTGCTAACCTATATCTAAAAGTAAGAAAAATATTGACTAAAAGATAGCACAAGTTTATCTAATACCAAAAGATGTGAAGTAAAGATATAGTCTAAATAATATTTGATTAATAGTTCTAATAAAAACTTTTAAAAAAGTTATAACAAAAGGGATAACAAAAAGGTTTGTCAAAGTATTTATAAAAAAAGAAGTACTTAAAGAATCAAATTATGCAGGCAGGCCTTTTAGGTAACTTAATAAAATAGCCAATATATATACTTAATATAATAATAAAAGAAGCAAAAGAAAAGGACAAAGAAGTATAAATACTTTTGCAAAATATAAAAAAGATATTTGACTTAGTTCTGCTCAAGAGTCTTAAATTAGTATTGCAAAGAGTTAAAGTATTTAAAAGAACAATGAAATATATAGTGAACCTGTTTTATAAGAAGCAACTAAAAATTATTACAGCTCTTAGTCTAACAGAAGAAATAATAGTAAAAAATGATATAAATTAAGATAAAGTAATATCTTTATTAATATTGTAGCTGTTTTATGATTTACTGTTAAAAAAAGTACAAAAAAATAAAGGCTTAAGTTATATAATAGAGCAGCAAATTAGAAAAGACATGCAATGCAGCAATACTACAAATTATTATCAAACAGCAATTGCATATGCAAATAATACAATATGAATTGCAAATAGTAAAAAGCAGCTAATAAAAATTTTAAAAATAGCAAAAGAATTTTTTGAGATGAACGATATAGAGATAAATAAATTCAAATCAAAGCTACTAATAATAAATACAAAATTAAAGAAAAAAAAAAAAGTAAATTTTAAAAAAAGCAAGATAATAAAAGAATTAAAGAGCAAAGTAGTTTGCTTATTAGAAATATGACTAAATAATAGAATAAGCAAAGCATTGATAAAAAAAAAATAAAAAAATAATAAAACAAAAAATAAAAAATCTTAGATACAAAAAAATAATAATGAGTCAAATTGCATATATAAATAATATAATAATAATACCAAAATTAAGTTATATGCTACAATTAATAAAAAAGTTAGAAAGAAGTATAAGTAAAATATATTAACTAATAATAAGCTTGGTAAAGCAGAAAAGCAATCTGCAAAGAACATTAGAAAACTGCATTATAAAATATAAAGATCTTGAAAGCTATAGAATATTACAACAATAGTTAATAATGAAACAGATAAGCAGTTTATTAGTAAGACTAAACAGACAAGACAGTCTTGAATAGTTAATAAAATTAAGAATAATACAAAACTATCAGAAAGCAAATTTAACAAAAAATATATAGAAAATAAAAGAGATATTAGAAAATATAAAAAGTTAGAAAAGTAACTTAGCTTGCTTAATATTACAAAGTTTAATATAAATATAAGAACAGAAAATAATTTATAGACAATGTTTAGATATAAAATAAAGTAAAAGAGCTTGTAAATACTTAGATATAAAAAAGCAATAAGACTAGAATAATTAAAACAGATATAATATACTTAAATTAGTTACTTAATACAAAGAATGAGAGGTTAATTACATAGCAACAACTGAAAAGCTACTAAGGCCTATTGAGTAAGAGAAAAAAAGCAGAGTGGTTCAAGACAATAAAACTAAAAATACTTAGTAAATCAAAAAGCAAAGAGGTTAAAAACATTATAGAACAAACAAACAAAACATCTAAGCAATGCAAATAAAATAGAAGTATATTTTAGAAAAAAAAAAAACTAGCATATAGTATATAGAATTATCAACAATTAAAAAAAATAGTTAAAAAAAAAGAAAAAAATATTAGTAAAACATTAGCAAATACAAAGTAAAAAAATAAACTAATTGTTAAAATTAACAAATGTAAGATTATACAAAAAAAGAAAAACAGATAGAAAATAACTGCTAGTAATTAATAAGAATAAATAATAAAATCAAATTGATTTTAGACACATTAATAAAAAAAATCAGCAACAAAATCAAAATAGCAATAAATCAAATAATAGAAACAACAAAGATAAACAAACTAGCAATTGAAAAACAAAAACTTGAGGACTAAGAATAATAGAAAAGCTAGAAGTAGAGATTATTAAATAATAAAAGTTAAAAAAAAACAATAGTTAAAAAATAATAAAAGTTTTAAGAAAGAATATAACAAAAAACAAAAACAAATATATAATATATACAGATGAAGTAGCAAACATAAAAACTAAAGAAGATACAACAACTAAAAATAGTATAGACATAAGATGAATTCAAACAAATAAAACACAAAAATGGCACAAAAAAAATTAGCACTATGTCTAGAAGGATAGCAAACATTGACAATAGCTAAGTTAGTAGTAATATAGACAGCAATCTTAACAGTACTAAAGAAAAACCAAATAGAAATATATACAAATAATAATGCTGCAATGAGAAATACTGATAGAGGTTTAGAACAAATAAACAAAAATAAAATTTTCAAAAAAAATACAATATAGATAATGAAAATTAGAAATCTTATTATGACAAAAAACATTCAGATAAAGTTTTTTTAAAATTAAATACTATAGTAAAAATAAATAGAATGATAAATTTAATAGTCTGACAAAATAGATACAACAAGTAAAAAGATAATACAGGCCAAAAAAGTCAGTTGCAAAGAAATAAAGTACTGACTAAAGTAGAAAAACAAACATACAGACATACTAGCAAGATTGCTTTGCAA